CGCTGGATCTGTTTGTGTTGAACTAACGGAAATCCATCCAACTTCTATGTCCTTAGTGCTGAGAGTAAAGGTGTGTGCCACCACTGCCTGGCCTCTATGGCTGACTAGTGTGGCTGGTTTTTCACTCTGATCCTCAGGCAAAAGCTTTGTTAGATCATATTACCACAGCTTCCAGGTGGCCCCCACACCCAGGAGGCAATGTTCCTCTGATGTCCTCATCCCAGGGCCAGGAAAAGGCAACCTGGGGTCCTGAGGGAAAGAGTTGGTCAAAATTATTCAAACTGACCAATTCTTAAGGGTGTCCCCTTCCCCGCCTTCCTTTTTATATGAAGACCCAAAGGGAGACTCTGGACTAATGCTTTCTCATGTGGCCTGTGACACTTGTCTCTAGGAGCTGAGTGTAATATAGTTTGTTTTCCAGAGCCTCCTCGCTTTCTTTGGCTATGCAACTCAAAAGATAAGCAGTTACCCAAGAAGATGCAGCCTACGTGGCCACTCTCCACTCAGTGATTATGCTCTCCCATCCATTCTCTATGCACACTCACCCTAGCCTACGTACACTTTCCATCATACCCCCCAATCCTCAGATGTCACTAACGAGAATGGCTACTGATTAGAGCAAAACATTGAAACTCTGCCTACAGACCTTTGTCTCTGTCTTTCTAAAGATTTAGCATGACCTTCAATTTCAATTTGGACTTAAGGTTATTAACTTAGTGTATATAAGCCTTGATATAAATGTTCCTTAACTCTTAAGACAGTACGTTTTCCTATGTAACTCATGAAGACATCTGCAATTGCTTTAATGGTGAGTACTTTCAGCCTTTTCTTACATTGTTCCGTTTATCTGTTTGGTTTTTCAAGACAGGGTTTCTCTATGTAGCCCTGGCTGTCCTGGAACTCATTCTGTATACCAGGCTGTCCTGTAACTTAGACATCCACCTGCCACTGTCTTGCAAGTGCTTGAATTAAGCCCCGAGCCACCACATTCTTCTTTGAACAACCTATTGACTGTAGTTTCTCCCAATTGCCTGTACATTCAGCCTGTCAGTATTTTCAGGAGTTGTGAATATTTTTGTCTTTCTCTGTGGTGGTGTGTTGATAGGCTGCTTACATTTCTGTTTTCATGGCACTAACCTTCTTCACAGCTTTTACTTTATGTGTGGGAGGGCACAGGAGCCAAGGGAAGAGGAACTTATATCAGCAGGATTTAGCAGCCTTTTCAAGGTCACAGGAACAGAGGAGCTTGAAATATAAGCATTGTTTCATGAAACCATATATAACAAGGACAGGTGGAACCCGGAGAACTCATGAGAAAAGTTAGATCAATTTTATTCCTAATCCTTCCAATGTTTAACACTTGAAATGACAATGCAGATGAGACTTTCCAAATTTATAACAAAATTTGGGGCTCTTATATTATGCATGTTTACTAAAAGCATAGTGTGTATTGCCCAACAGAGTAATAAATCTTCTTTAATGTAAACTGAATTTCCACATAAAGACTGTTGAAAATACATATTTTATTTTGCCAGGTGATACACTATTGGCCATTCAGGCACCTTCTGGTACACAGCTCGAAGTACCTATTCCAGAAATGGTATGTACCATAGCTGTTATAAGTAAGGAAACAGATCTACTGCCCCAAGAGAGACAAATGCATTTTCTTGAGCTAAACAAGGACAAATAGAGTATGAACACTTTTGAGTTATTAGTATTAATATATATATCTGAATATAGGTATCTTCAATACTTTGATAAAAGTAGCTGAATGAATCTGTACTGTCCTCCCCTATCCTCCAAGAATTTAGTAATTTATATTATTATATTTTAGACCTTCAAAAGACAAATTACCTTTTGGAAAAGGAAGAATTTTGTGTCTATGTAGCAGTCAGTCATGTTTTTTGATTAATGGGTGGAAAAGTTTTGGTTTGTGAAATATGTAAACTCAGACAGGATGTTGAGATGGGCAATCATGGTAGTTTACTCCAGAGGTTGAAGTTCATGTGTGTGGAGACTTTGTAGAACATTATTGACCACGACCAGGTATGAAATGGATGGTGGTGTGTGTATGTAGTAATCATCCCAGCATGTGAGAGGCTGAGTTTTGAAACCAATCTGAACTATATAGTGTAAGTCTGTTAAGTAAAGATGAGGGTGAGGAATGGGAAAAAAGTGGAAGAGAAGGAAAAGAAGAAAAAAAAAAAAAAAAAAAAGGAAAGAAGGAAAGGACAGGACAGATTGATTGTTTAGAATTTTGTAATTACCTTCTTGATGATAGCCATTTTAGCAAAGCTTATCTTTTGGGGCCAAGTGGCTTACAGACTTCAGTAAATCCATTCTCCTTGGTCTGTTCTCCTGTGTTACAAACTCAGTGACTTTGTCATGTGACGTTAGATGTTAGATCCTAATGACTTTGCCTGTCTTTGTTTTCATGTTTCAAGTTAGCTAGCAGTGGTAATACTCATTTGTTTATACCCAATAACTCCAAAGGGTCAGAATGGACAAAAGAAATACCACATAAATTTAAAGAGCCACTCAGGACCTATCCATGTGCTGCTTATAAATAAAGAGTCCAGTTCATCTAAGCCGGTGGTTTTTCCTGTTCCCCCACCTGATGACCTTACACAGCCTTCCTCCCAGTCCTTAACGTCAGTGACTCCACAGAAATCCACCATGGCTGCTCAGAACTTGTCTGAGCAGCAAGTTTCTGAAAGAAGCCAGAGTTTCCAGCAGACACCAGCTACAGAAATATCTTCAGGTTAGTAGAAAGCCTTTGATCTAAAGATTTCAGGTGAAAATATGAATACTATATGAAACAGATCAGAGACCTTTTATCTAAAGCAAAATAACCTTATTCAATGTTTTAATTTAGTATCTTCTAGTACATGCGTATCACTAAATAGGTATTATTAGGAATATTTTAAAGTAGATCATGTCTTGTGTGTATGAATATGTATATGCATTTTGAAGAAAAGCACATAAGGAATACTTAGCAGTTTTACTGAAAGCTGGTCCCACACTGACCCAGGAGAATTTAACAGTATATCACAAACAGCAGTTTTGTTTGTACTCTCATCACAGGTAATTTCAAGCTACCCACCTGAATCACTGAACTATTATTAATATTAGTCAGGGTGTCATATGAAATGCGCATTTGAATGCATGTATGTATATATGCAAAATGTGTAGACTATATAGAACTTTTGTTTCTGAGCAAACACAGAAGTCATTGATGATAGTAAAAGCTGTATTATGTAATTTGTGTTGTTTGCTAATGGGATATACCCCACAGCTCCTACTTTGAAATTTCACAATCCGTAACAGTGAAGCTAGATTTTAATTGGACACGGGCTGGGTCACTTCTTTCTGTAAGAATACACTATAGCTGAAGAGATGCACAAGAAAAAGTATAGCCTTAAGAAAGTACTAATTAATCCCAGTTTAATTGGGACAACCCAGTTGGTAACTTAGCTTCCAAAGAATGTAAATAAATAAATAAATTAGAGAATTGAGTACTTTCTGTGTATCATTTGGTATAGTGAGAGACGTTACTTGGGAGCACATTAGAGGTTTGGAATATCACATGAAAATGCTAAGAAACCAGATTTGTATGAAGGAAGGTAGGAGTTAGTTGTCTGTGTTGGTGAGCATAGGGTAGGCTGACGTGGAAGACTTGGAAACTATTCTTTTGGGGAGTATAGGGTGGCAAGTCTGAAGAGATGTTTGCAGTTACCACAGCTGAGACAACTTCATTCCCCCCATCAAATTAGAGTAGTGATGTGACTGCCTCTGTTGAAATCCAATTTCCTCTATCATATTTATGTTTTCAACAGGATCTGTTAGTGGAGACATCATTGATGAACTGATGTCTTCTGATGGTAAGTGGTTGAAGATTTTACTGGGTATATATCTATATCACTATCCTAGAGATTACAATAGGCATCTTTTAGAATTTATATTTACTTGCATTTTAAAGGAAAGAACTCAGAAGGAATACTTACCACCACTTTTATTGATAACCAATCACATCCTAGCCCAGAAGTAATTGAATCAAGTTTTGTATGTACTCCCGTCACAGGCAATTTCAAGCTGCCCACCAGAATCACTGAACTTTTACTAACATTAGCCAGGGTGTCATATGAAATGTATGAACTAATTATTAAAACCACTCCTCTGTAGTATGCTAATTAAAAGTTCCTCTGGGCTTTTGTGTAGGTTTTGGATTCAGAACGGTGACAAACTTTATGGTAATCCTCTTAAGTCATGTAGCAGTGACTGTAACGGTGACTGTTTCTCCTTTGCAGTGTTTCCCCTCTTACGGCTCTCTCCTACCCCAGCAGATGACTACAACTTCAATTTAGAGGACAATGAAGGAGTCTGTGATTTGTTTGATGTTCAGATACTAAATTATTAGATTCCATGGAAACTTGGGACTGTTATCTACCTCTAACTGTAACATTTTAGAAGTCTTAATAATCTGAGTATTTAAAATTATGAATGTAACACCATTTTAGTTCACTGATTCTGAAATGTTCTTCTTTAACATTTTATTTTTTACTTCACAAAACTTGAGAGGGCTCTGCTACAAGGGAGAAGATGAATTGTCTAGCAGCATGTCCCTCCAGTGATTACATTCGGTTTCTTTCCATTCTGAATTCATTCTGCTGTAGCTCCCTCTCCTGGGAGGAAAGTTAAAAGCAGGCTCCAGGTCATCATAGAACATTGAGCAAAAGATCACTTATTTGTCTTTACATTTTTACTGCCACAAAGTTATTTCTGTGTGTCCTTCAAACAGACATTCACTGCCACATGTAAAGTGAAGGGTGTCACTGTTGAGTGAACAGAGTTTGTGAAGTGCCTTCTGTTTTAGCACTTTAATTCTATCAGTTTGACTTCTGACATTCCACTTTCCTAGAATATAGGAAAGATCTTTTTATGTAGTTTGCTTTTAAATGTGCCAATGCCTGTACATTAACAAGATCAAAAAATAAATAAAATTGTATAAAACATTCAATTTATTGATCCTTTGGGGGAGTATGATACACTGTCATTATATTACAATTGAGCCATTAGTCTTGTTGCTTCATCAACATTAGCTGGTTCATTTTCATGGTGCTTCTGAGGAATCAAAGAGGAAAAAATGTTTACAACACAAAAAATCCAAAAGCTTAGTAACAGCAAACTAAACCACCTTGACTATTCAGACTTAGTGTTTAAGCCTGAATATGACTTAAAGTGCTATCTATATACACCAAAATGCCAGGTAAAAATTACTTACACTTCAAGTGTGTTAGCCTTCAATGTATCAGTCATGAAAGGAACTAATTTCTACTTACCAGCTCTTGCTGCACAGATTTAAAAGAAAGGCTTTTTGAAAAGTTTGCAAGTTCTTTCTGTATATTTACAAAAGCTGTGTTCATTCTGTTGACTTTTTCATCATTTATAATGTTTATCTGTTAAAAATGAAAAAAAAAATCATATTATCTCCTAACAAAGTACTGGTCTGTCTAGATGTCTTAGCAGGTAAAGGCATTTGCTGTGCAAGCCTGAAGGCCTAATTATATCCTGAACACATGCTTTGACCTCAGACACCCCTCTGTTACACATGTCATGCATGTGTTAGACACATAATTTGCAAGTTTTTTAAAGAAAGGAAATAGTATAAATTCTTAACACTACCAAACTAATAATTCACACACACAAAAAAAATACTTTCGTCTTAATTAGTCAGAAAGTTTGGATTTTTAAAATTAACAGATGTAAGGAGTAAGTTTTTCCGCCAGTCGTTGGTCTTGTCCTGCCGCCCCACCAGCCCCAAGTAACACACCGAGACTCTGTATTAGATATAATTCTTTTGGCCAGTTACTTGTTTCTTATCAACTAGCTCTGTCTTAAGTATTAACCCATTTCTATTAATCTCCACGTGGTCTTATCTTACTGGAAAGAGAGCCCGCCGACATTCTGCTCTCTGTCTCTCCATCTCCTTACTACTTCTTCTTTCCTCCTCATCTCCCAGTCCCTCCTATCTACCTTTCCTATTGGCCAACCAGTATGAGAAACATTTACAGAATGACATCTCCCATCCCAGAAAAGGATGCCCTAGAGTTAGTTGTGAGTCTCCATGGGGTGTGTGGAACTGAACCTTGGTCCCTTTGCAAAAGTAGTAAATGTTCTTAATTGCTAAACCACCTCTCTGGAGTGGCTGCTTCAAGGTGGGTGGACAAGGCTCCTCTGAGCATCTTTCATGAAGGGCTGAAGTTACTGTTTATAAGCAAATGTACTTGGAAACTACTCAACAATGGATTTTGTTACTTATGATGGAATACTTAAATACTCACCTTCTTAAGATTAGTAGTAACTGGTTTTGCTTTGTTTTTAGCCTTGAAGGTTTTTTGGCTGGCTATGTGAAATACATTCCTAGACTTCTGCCCTTTAAATTTGTTCTTGGCCATTGTCTAGAGAAGAAAGGGATTTAGTTAAACTGGCTTATATTTTGGGCCACAAATAATTTAAATGTTTAAGTCCATCTTAGTTCTGATTATTTTAAAAGTTGCTACATAAATTCCATGTCTTCCATTCCTAGACATCTCAATCTTTCCTGTATTCCCAGAACCAGCCCTGAGACACACCTTCCCATTTTAAAGATTTTTTTTTTTTTTTAACTGACAGGAGTTTGCCATGATTTAATGGTTTGTTGTTTGTTCCTTAAAAAGGTGGGGGGGGCAAGCGGTGGTGCTTGACGCCTTTAATAGCAGCTCTCAGGTGCCAGAGGCAGGCAGAGCTCTATAAATTACAGGCCAGCCTGCAGCCAGGGATACACAAAGAAACCCTGTGTCTGTCGGAAAACCCAAAATAAACCAACAAGTAAACGATAGACAGTAGAAAATACACGATTACAGGACCAAACAGTAAGCATAAAACTAAATCAACTGACTCATTAGTTACTAAGCCCGAAGTGGTAAAAAACTCGCCAAGTACACATAGGCAAGCAGACAGGTAGGTATCCTACACAGAAGCACGCATAAAGCGCACACAGGTGAAGTGCCACAGGCTCGAACGACGCTAAGAGAGACGCCCACTAAGCTGGAAACGGGTTCGGGGACACCAACCCCCTAACTGAACCCGGGGATCGGGAAGGCTGACGCCTGGGCCGAGCCCGTCAGGGGGTGGCCGCAAGGTTTCGGGCGTGGGCCGGGGTTCACGGCCCGCGAGGACGGGCAGGCCGGAGCCCTCGCAGCCGCCCGGGCCATCAGTCCCGCCGGGCCCCAGGCACCTCGGCCGCTTCTCACCAAACTCCGCCAGGCTCACGCGGCCGCTCGGGTCTCCGATGGGGCAAACTCAAGGCACAGGAAGTTCCGGGAAGCAGCCGCCACTTAGGTGAGCGCTTTCTAGCCGCAACCCCACCCGCGGCAAGGGCCACGCCCACCACGTAAGGCCTCTTCCTTTTAGCCACGCCTTTCACGCGCGGTCCTTCGAGCGGGGCTCCGCCCCTTCGGCCGCGGCCCCGCCCACCGCGGAGGAGCCGCCCTCGAGGGGAGGGGCATGCATAATCCGGCGCGGGCCCGCTGCCCTGGCGTGTACCGCGGTGGGGGCGAGGTCTCAGTCCCGGTGAGGTCCCTCCCGCCGTGGGAGCCCCGCCTCGCTAGCTGCCCGGCGTGTGATCAGGCCGTGTCGTTTGTCCCGCGAGGGCCGAGCCGGGCCGGGCGAGAGAGACGGCGCCGCCCAAGTCAGCAGCCCAAGCTGCGGGCTCCGAGATGTCCGGCAGGTGGCGCTGCGACCGCGGGCGGCTTCCGGACTGGACCAGCAGCCCACTGAGGGAAAAAGTTCGCCTTATTAACTTCTTGTTTCAGAAAGAAAATTTCTTACACCACAGCAGATGTACAAGGAGCCATTAACAGTAATATGCATGTACGTGTGTATGTATGCATGTGCAAACTGAGCTCATGAGGAACTTTTGAGAAAACTCAGAAGTCCTTTCACCTTCGCTCTTTGTGGGTCTGCACATTTTGCATTAGGGCGGTTCAGAAAAATCTGTTCACATTTTCCAAGAAGCTATCCACATAGCCGTTTCCTCTCTCTCTCTGCCTTTATTAAATCTCCTCATAACTGGTCTGCTCACTTTAGTAGACAGAAGGATTTAGTGCTAAAAGTGTTAACCAGACCCAGCACTCCATCCCAAACTCTCACAGCGTTCAGAAGACAGCAACGACTTTTTGTTTTAGCCCCTGCTACTTCCTTATTGCTCATTAATCAACCTGATATGTTTCTGTTCTTTGGCCTTTCTGTGTAGAACACTCCCTCACAGCATAGCTGCAAAGGAGCTTAGAGTTGAAAGACTTTACGTTAGCCAAAGTTTATAGTCCATAGTGAAGGGAAATCAGGGCAGGAACAAGACAGAATCTGGAGGCAAGACCCAAAGCAGAGGCCATGGAGGAATGCTTGCTGTCTGGCTCTTTATTGGCTTGCTGTTTTTACAACGGAGGACTTCCTGTTCAGAAGTGGTACCACACACAGAAGGCTGTGAGACCTCTTATATCAATAATTTGTCTTAAGAAGCACTGTCTCAGATGAGGTTTTCTGTTTCCAGATGACCCTAGTGGGCATCAAATTGACCAAACAAACAAAAACCCTATCATCCAGGATGACACTGTCATACATGATGGCCTAGAACACTATATAGATCAGATTAACTTCAAACTCAGAGGGATTTTCCTGTCTGTGTCTCTTGAGTGTTGGGATTAAAGGCCATCATTGCCATGCCCAGCTGATTTCTGTTGGTGTCTCTTGCTAGAATATTTTATACCAGCACATCTTTTCATCTCATTTGGTCTGATACTATTTTAGTCTTCTAAGGCTGCATAGGAAATCATAAAAAAAAAAAAAGTTCTAGTAGCTCAAAACACCAATCACCATTTTCTGCCTTACAGTTCTCTGGGCCTAGAGTTTGGCGAGACTTAGCCTGTGTTAACACAGTCCGTGAATGAAGCTGTGTGAGGAGGTTTCTGAGAGCTGTGAGAAAACTCCAGGTAAACAAGCAAGAGTCTTGTAACCTCTGTTCTTCCATAGTATGGGTTGTTCTTGCAATGTGCTTTCATGGCCCCTCCCAGGTACAGCAAATATTAGTATTTTTTTTAACTTCGGATTACCCATCATTTTACTTCTGTTATTTAAAACCGTTTCCAAGTATGGGTTACCCTGTAACTGTATAAAGCACAATCTCATGTGAACTTTGCTTAGCCCTCAGAGTATAAATCGTCTGGTGCCCGGAATAAAGTTGGCTATTGCATGAGACTTTAGTTCGGTTCATTTTTAGGCTCCACTCTCCCTGGTCTGTGCTGCCTGCCAACAGAACAGTAACTGAAGGCTAAAGGTTCTGGCTCAGGGTCCTTTGAAAGGTTGAGTTAGATGGCACAGTCAGATATGGCTTGATTGCAGCTGGAGCATTTGTTTCCAAGGATCTTCATGAACAGCTGCAAACCTGTCCCCTCTAAACCCATGATGCCCCAAGTCCTGCCCAAGTCAGTCGCTTTACGGAGCTATCTCACATCCTTCAGACCCAGTGTTCTGAGAGAGCCAGGGAAAGCTGATGTTTTTAATGACCGGGACTTGGAGTCACCATCACCACTTCTGTTCCTTTCATTCGGGGCACATGCCAGCTCCAACTCAGTTAAGAGGATGATTCACACAGAACTGAAACTAAGTGGTCATTGTGAATGATGTAGGAGGCTGGCCCAGTGCGGCTTCTAGCTCACTATGCTGAAACGGTGACTGCCACATAACTGGTATGCAAGCAAATGAATGATATATATTCCACATAACTCGATTTCTCAGGGCCATTTAGTAAGGAAGAGAAAATTAAAGGGAAGTTGAATCACGAATGAAATAATTCAACTCTGTTGTGTTTCTATTGCTGTGAAGAGACACTTGACCATGGCAACTCTTATAAAGGAATCCATTTAATGGGGTGGCTTATAGTTTCAGAGATTAAGTCTACTGTCATCATGTGGAGACATGGCGTCGTCAGGAAGATATGATGCTGGAGAGTCATCTTGATCTGTAGGCAACAAGGAGTGAACTGGGACACTGTGTAGCTTGAGCACAGGAGACCTCAAAGCTGACCCCCACAGTAACACACCCACCCCAACAAGGCCATAACTCCTAATCGTGTCATTCCCTGTGAACTTTAAAGGGACCAATAACATTCAAACTGCAACAAACTCTACTTAGATATCTCACGTTAGGGCAGGTGAATAGAATTCAATGGACCTAGAGATGGTTCAGTGGTTAAGAACATTTACTGCTATTGCAATGGACCTGAGTTTGATTTTCAGCACCCACATTGACAGCTCACAACTGCATGTGAACACAGTTCCAGGGGATTTGATTGCCTCTTCAATACTCCATGGGCACCTGCATGGATATGATACACATACACACATACACATAAAATAATCTCAGAACTGTGCTAGCTAACCAGTAACTAGAGCCAGTAGCCTCATGTGGATGGTCTGAACTGAGATATGCAATTATTTAAAACACATTGTATGAGAAAAAGGACATAAAGAGTAATGTTGCAAGATGCACTGAGGAGTCAGAGAGCACATGGTGCAGGGAAAGTAGTTCACTGTAAAGATGTATTAACTATAACCTAAGGTGAGCATGCAAAGATAGTAGGAATGAATACCCAGTAGCTGTGGGCGGTTAGTTCATAGCTTTTATGTAAATGGGGTTCCTTGTTTTGCTTCTGAGATTCCTAGAAAATTGTAGCCGTACAGTGGGCAAACGAAAAAGGCAGTGTGTGGTCATACACACCTAGGCTTTGAGTATGGTTCTCTGTTATAGGGTACTTCTTTACAATCTCTACTTAAAAGGCACATCTTTATGTAGGCAACCTTCATGGAGAAGGCTGTTAGCCATGCTAGACTTGCTTCTTCCCTCCCAGCCAGAGACTGCAATCAGACTTCAGAGTGAGAGGTTCCTGTTCCGTCTTATGTCCCTTTAGTTTTCTGCATCTCTCTGTCCTACTTTACTTTTAATATCCTCCAGTGAACATAATTTTCCACATGGATGATCATTTCTTAGCTTCCACAACTTCATGTCTTTATGAGCCACAATAACCATCACAGTTCTGCATCAATATTCTTACTCATTTTTTTTTTCTGTTTTTTAATAGAGACATAAAATACTTTCAAAATCACACAACAAATATGGCTACCAAAAAATACCCTAATATCTGTGTTCCAGTGGTTCTTGTAGGTGTTCTTAGTGTACTTTCTACTGATGATTTGTACATATGTGTGTATGTGTGTGTATAGTTATAATCTGTATAGTTATAATTAGTTCAATATACATTTTTTTGTTTCTCTTAGAATTAAATTTTAGATTTTTTTAAAATTCTCTGTTTTTTTACACTTACATATTTGCATGTGTGTGTGTGACATGGCACACTTGTGAAGTCAACTTGAGGGAGTCAATTCTTTCCTTTAACTATGTGAGTTCTAGAGACCCAACTCAGACCATCAGCTTGGCAGCAAGCTTCTTCACCCTCTGAAACACTTCACTTGCCTTCATTTTATTTTTATTTTATTTTATTGAGACAATTTTTGTGCTATATGCAGTTGTCTCAAACTTACTGATTTACCCAAGTGTCCTTAAATGTAGAACTCTCCTGCCCAACCTTCCGTATGCTGGAATTGCAGGCTTGTGCTATGATTCCTCACTGATCTCATTTTTAAAATGAAAAGCATACTAAAATAGCAAGAAGATAGATTGGACAAATTCACTGCTTCTTAGTTCATCATCCATTCCATTCATACCTGCCTCATATGAGAAACCAATTTGCTAATTTGTGACTTTATCTTTCCAAAGGTTTTTGGTCGGGGCTGGACAGATGGCTCAGCGTTTAAGAGCATTTACTGCTCTTGCAGGGGACCTGAGTTCAGGCACCAGGCATGCATGTGGTGCACATACACACATACACGCGTGTGGGCAGGCAGGCATTTATACACATAAAACTAAATAAATTATCTCATAAGAGGCTTTTGTCAAAAAGTTGCTAATGTATGCACCCTTTTATTTTTTTCCACTGGAGAAATGTTTTTTACTCTCTTTTGACTTTCTCTTCCTTCTTCTAGCTAGCGTGTCCCAGGCCTTACTCCATATGGCTTGTGGAGTTGTTTGTTCCTTCCATAGCTGGTTGGCTGGCCACAGATGCTTTTGGGGATGTCTACCCAGTCTCCTGTGAGTGGTACTCTGAATTTTTTCCCATTGTACACAGTGCAGTTTTAGGAAAGTGAGCAGACTGCCCAAAGAAAAATTCAAAGCACAAAAGTTCAAATTCAAATTTCTGGTTTTTTGGTTTATTCATTGATCCATTCACTGGACAACTATTATTGGGAATTGGAAACTAATACTAGAACACAAGTCACGGTGATGTGTTAAGTCATTCGAGTTAATGAACATGTGTTGTCTCCAAGAGAATTTGTCTGGGTTTACAGGCATGGGCAGTTGGTGCGAAGTAAGGACACTAGGTAAACTGTTTCAGGAAACTGATTTTTCATCACATCCTTCACTACACAGACACTGTGCTCATTAGTTTTTGATCACTTGACACAAGCGTGGGTCATACAGGAAGAAAGAACCTTAACTGAGAAAATGCCTTCGCCAGATTGTTGTGTAGACAAACTCAGTGGTGGTGTTTGCTTGATCGGTGATTGAAGTGGGAGGGCCCAGCTTGTTGTGGGCAGTGCTACCCTTGGGCAGGTGGTCCTGGGCTGTGTAAGAGAGCAGGATGAACAAACTGCGCAGAACAAACCAGTAAGCAGTGTTCCTCTGCTTCAGTTCACGACCCCAGGTTCTGGGCTTGAGATCCTGCCTCGATTTTCCTCAATGGTAGGCTGTGTCTGGATGTGTAAGTTAAATAAACCCTTTCTCTAAGTTGTTTTCAGTTGTGTTTATTACAGCAACAGAAAGCAAACTAGGACCGGCATGATGAATAATTGTGTCACCAATAATTAAAGTCTGTACCCACAGGTCTAGGTCTGAGGCAGAACTGGAGGGCTTATTTAGCTGAGTAACCTAGTGCCCTACTTCTTTTTTTTTTTTTTTGTTGCTGTGATAAACACCCTTCCCAATAACAACTGAAGGAGGAAACTTCAGCACACAGGCTGCAGAACATCCCCGAGCAAAGGCCAAGCAGGAGCTCAAGGTGACAGCCTGAAGCAGAGAAATGTGATTTCTGGCTTGCTCTCAGGCCACCTTTCTAGGCTACCTGCCTAGGTGGCACATAGTCTGATCTCTTTGTGAGATGTGTGAATTTAAACACCTTAAGATAAAAAATATACAAAAGTTGATTGCATTTGGACAGAACATGTAAAGACATTTTCCCTTTGTCATTAATCCCTAAAAATATACCCTAATCATCATTCTCAAAATGTTTACATGTATTATACATTTAAGGGAATCTAGAAAATATCTTGAAGTATATGGGAGACTGTATGTCGTTTATATGAAAATGTGTCCTCTAAAGGCCCTTTACATATGGAGGGAAAAAATATGTTCTTTTAAATTTCTTTTTTAGGTTTATTTTATGCGCATGAATGTTTTGCCTACATCTATGCATATGCATTATGTGCATGCCTGGTCAGGAGAGAGTGTCAGATCCCCTGACACTAGAGTTATGGATTAGTGTGAGCTATGGTGTGGATGCTGGCAAATGAACCCAAGTCCAGGCATGAGCAAAAGTTGTCCTTAACTACTGAGCCGTCTCTCCAGCCCTAATGTATTTTTTTAAAGTATTTATTAGTGGTGGTGGTGGTGTGTGTGTGTGTGTGTGTGTGTGTGTGTGTGTGTGTGTGTGTGCTGGTACATGCATGCCAGGGCCTTCATGTGGATGTCTGAGAACAATTTTGTGGAATGGATTCTATCCTTCTGCCTTTTAGTAGATTCAGGAATTGAACCCAGGTGAACAGGCTTGAAGGGTAAGTGCTTTACCTGCTGAGCCATCTCATAGGCTGGCACAAACTGTGTGTATTCCTCTATGATAAAAGTGAGTATCTTTATATTTTATTTATATAGTAACTTTTATTCTTGGAAAGTGTACCCTTACTGAGTTATTACCAAAACTGAGCTCAATTCTTGCAGAAAAATGAAAAAAAAGACTTAGGGGGCACATTAAGCTTCCTGCCATATTGAAAACTTGTCACGGTGCTTTTTATGCAGTATGTGGTACTAAACGGGTAGAAGGTAGCGATATGCAATAGTTAAAATTGATTATTGTTTGGTGGTGTGTATTTTGCAATGATTACCACACCGCTTCCCAGTGACTTGGATTCCTACTTCATGCAGCAGTTCTGTGGATAGCAGGGGAAGATTATATTTAAACAACCACTCATCTTGTTTTAATATCAGGCTCCTGCCCATCCAGAAGGTGTTCACACTAGCTGGTCCATAAGCAGCATTGGAAATTTCCCACAACTCAAATCTTCAGACAGCTCGAACACTGGTAATTTCAGAGGTCACACCGTTTTTACTGTTAAGTAGGAGCCCGGAACACGCATCCAGTCTGAAAACCTCCCTTCCTCAGCAGTCGCAAGTGTAGTGGGGGTTTAAGCACCAAGAATACGGTAGGTCTGGTTTCTTCTATGCAGGGCCAAGCCTGCAAGATGCTGGAGTAAGCAAAAAGGAACCAGAGAAATGAGTAATGCAGACTGCCAAGGATGGAGCTGTGGGGGCAGGGAGGGCTGGCCCGGGAGGTTAGCACTTCCTAACTAGTATTTTTTTTTTTTTTTTTTTTTTTTTTTTGTAAAGTGGTAGTTAGTACAGCTATCAGCAGCATTGAGGGGTGTGCCTGGCTAATCACCACTGCCACCTCCATCAAGGTCCCCTGTTTTTCCCAGTCAGGATCTTCACCTCTAGCCAGCAGCTCCTGCCTGGGATAGTCATTTCTAGAAGGGCCTCGACTTCTAGAAGGGGTCCACTTCCCAGAAGGCGGCAAATCCCCCTTTGGAAACCGTTCTGGCTGCAGGGCACAGACCCCCCCCTCGCGGGCGCCCCCTGCGGGTGACCACTGTGTCCTCCGGTTTCGGGTTCCCCAGCCGGGCGGCCCCTCCCTCCACCCGCTGGGCCCGCCCAGCTCCCTGGCTTGGACCGACCGCTCTGCCCCAGGGTGCAGAGCTCTCCATCGAGGACCATGGCGAGGCTGAGCTGGGGATACGGCGAGCACAACGGTGAGCAAGGGCTCCAGCCGGGACGTGTGCGCGGCGGCGGGAGCTCTGAGTCCAGTGGGTGGATGGGGGTCAGGGTCCCGGGTCCCCTGTGCTCTTTCGGAGCCGACAGGGGTGTCCATTCACCTCACTCAAAAAGCCCACGGGAGAAAGCCTGAGAGGTCTGAGGTCAGGCGACACACTTGAGAGGAAACAAGGACAGATCAGGGCGGCATGGGCGCTGATCACTAAGTCACGGGACGCCTTCCCGAGGCTGTTGAAGAAATCTTGGTAACTTGTAATTTGCATACTGACATGAAACTTACTTAGGGCTTGTTCTTGTTCTTTCTTTACTCTTCTTTCCTGCCATACCCACCGTTTCAGAGACCAAGGCTTATCAAAGATTATAGAAATCATAACGCGGCGCCAAGGGTACTTATAGATAAGCTTGGCAAAGAGAGGTGTACTTTTCTTCATATCGTAAATGTATCAGAGATAAAACATTTTTTTTCTTGTTGGTCTATTGGATTGAACTGATTGCCTCAAGTAATTTATTTAAAAGAATTGGAAAGACACACCAAGAAAGCGCTGATAGAAGCCTGTTAAAATGGAGTTTGTGAAAAATGTTGAAAACTTAAATTAGCATGTACATTATTGGACAGGATTCTACAGCACACTTTATGAAGAGTTTACTGAAAATTTTCCTTTTTTTTTTTCTTCCTTTTTGTGTTTTGAGATGGGGGGGGTCTCACTCTGTAGTTTAGACATGGTCATCCCCCTGCCTGAGATGGAAACATTTCATTTCTAATTGCAGCTTGCTTGAGAGTGTGATGACTAATGTTACTTTTAAAACGGCACAAGATGAACCTTAGAATTTTAAGAATGAAATTTATAATCTCATTTCCTTTTGACTGAAGTCATAATAGCAATCTTAATATTTCACGACCTTCTAATCTGTGTTTCGGAAAGACAACCTTCACACATTTCATTTTTGTCTTCGATAGAATCACCTTTATTGTTATTTGGCAGTTATAAGGTTGTGTTAGCCAATTGATTGCACCCCAGTAGGTAAAAAAGAAAAGTTTTCAACAACAACAGCAACAAAAAAAAAAAAAAAAAAAAAATCCTTCTCCAGAAAACTTAAAAATTCATCTTAGAAAAGGCATCAATGAAGAAGAATCGTTTTTACATTTTATTCATTTTCTTTTTAATTTGAAAAAAAGATTTATTCATTTTCTTTCTAAAAACGACTTATGAGTATTTGACTTTCATGTATGTTTGTGCACCGCGTGCCTGTGAGGGAGCTAGAAGAAGGCATTGGATCGACTGGGACTGGAATTACAGATGATCCTGAGCCACAGCTGCCTGGCAAGAGGAGCCTGCGCTCCTAACGGCTGAGCCTTCTTTCTAGTCCCCACCTGACATTCTAGCTAAGAGTTGTAGACCGATCCTTGTCCTTTGATTACAGTGTGTTTGTTTTTTTTAAAGAGGACCACGCCTTGAAGGTAGATTTTGTTGGGGGAAATTCTGTTGGGATGTGCGCATCCTAACTAAGCAAGCCTTGTTGCCTTTTCTTGTTTAGTCACTGGCAAAACATGTGACCGAGGCAGACTAAGGGGGTCTGAAGCTTCCAGCAACAGTGATGAAATGGAATGGCCCCCACGCAGCCACTTCTTCTTAATGGCTGAGGCCATGGGGCATCCCCAAACATTATATATCATGATCGGTATTCAAAAAGTCCCCGAGCCACTGAGGAGCCACTTGTCTTTCACTTAAGAACCACATGTAAGCGGATTTAAATTTAAGTGTGCTAGAAAATGTACAAAGGTATCTTTTAAGAGGTGCAACAATGCAAGTGAATACATACAATTAGCCGTTTGCTCCAAGTATTTTTTTTTTTAATGTTGCATAGTTTTGACTTCCCTATAAACAAACAGCTTTGGTTGTGAATGGCTAGTAATTGATGAAGAAAGTGATTAGGAAGCAAAAGCTTGCACATTGTGATTCGTGCACTGGATTTTTGAAATCTAGTGTTCATTATATGTGGTGGCCGTAATAGAAAGGTTTTTTTTTTTAATATATTAAATAAGAAAACAGAAAGAGTATTCATGCAGAAAGATAAGTGCAATGGTCTAATAAGAAAATGTAATACCCTTTCTACAGTGTCTTCTGAGGATTTTTAATGCAAAATTACTGAGCCAAAGTATCTGATTCACAGGACACCTATTGAGCAGAATGTGTTAATGTTGCAGCTTTTGGTTTTTCAGGAACCCATGTGAGCAACAATGCTATATTTATTGACACAGCATAGCAATTTTATTTGGATTATTCTGTGTGAAAGATTTGTGTGGGTGTTGGGTAGACCAGTTGCACATCACAGGCAATTGAGCTGAGCTGAGTGGTACCCAAGAATATCTGTGAGTCGTGTAACAAGCAAAAACTTACAGGCAGTATCTTTAGAATGACTGCCTTCTTTGATGCTTAACATCATCTTTTCATCTCTCTACTCCGTACACTTCCTGGCCTCTGGAGCAGCCAGGGCACATTCTTGATTTTGAGATGGAATTTCTTTATTTGCACTTTTGTTTTAGTTTGGTAGTTGGGTACCTTTGGGAAGTATTTTATGAAAGGTAAATATTCTTTTACCTATAAGCATATTTTAATTCTGAAAACAACTTAAAGCAAATGAAACTCTCTCCATACCCGTAAAACATTAGTCTTGGTTAAAATATGGGTACTGGGGGCCTGATAATGAGGATATTACTTTTACTAATCTTTTAATGGGGGGATGAGGGGTATGTGGGTAACTAGCTTGTGTATATGAGTGTTTTCTTGTGTGCGGGTGTATATGCATGTGTATGTGAATGTGTATGTGTATGTATGTGCATGTGTATGTGAATGTGTATGTGTATGTATGTGCATGTGCTTGTGTATGTGAGACCAGAGCTTGACCTTGCTCTCTATCACCTTTTTGCACTGAGGCAGGGTCTCTCTCTGATTCAGTTATTCCAATTAGCCAGCTTGCTCCAGACACCCTCTGTCTCGGCCTCCTAGGTTCTGCATACAAGTGAGCTGCCACACTCACCTGGCATTAATGTGTATGATGAGGGCCCAAACTCTCTTGCTCACATTTGTGCTGCCTGGATAAAATGCTTGTATCAACCTTAATCTGTTGAACAAAGAACTTACTTAGCCCTTTCCTTTTGATCCTACTCATATCAGGCCCCATTCACTGGAACGAATTTTTCCCTATTGCTGATGGTGACCAGCAGTCTCCGATTGAGATTAAAACCAAAGAAGTGAAATATGACTCCTCACTCCGACCTCTCAGTATCAAGTACGATCCTACCTCAGCTAAAATCATCAGCAATAGTGGTCATTCCTTCAGTGTTGACTTCGATGACTCAGAGGACAAATCAGGTTGGCTCTTTGTGTTTGTTGTGGTAAGACTTTGGATAGTTTGGTTTATTCTACCATATTTCATTCTAACATTTTCAAAATTGAAGCATTTTTTTTCATGTAAATTCAAATGTTATCTATTTGGACCTTAAGATAAGGTTGCCATAAAATAGTAGAGAAAATTTGTAGGAAAAATGTATGCTAGATTTAAGAATTGGTTTTAGGTTATTATTACTTAACTATGAAAATATTGAAGTTTAATAATATTTCATAAATGATTTTAATGTTTTATTTCTGGAAACTTTAATTGTTTTTAGACTATATATATATATATACATATATATATATATATATATATATATATATATATATGTAGGATTGTGTACTGTGAGGATTTCTAGAAGTTATGATGGCTGTGAATCCCTATGTGGGTGCTAGGAATCAAACCTAGGTCCTCTATACAGTAACAAGAAATACTGCTGAACCATTTGCTAGTTCCCTGTTTCTAGAAAGTATTTGGTCATGATTGCTTTACTAATTATGGTAAATCAGTGGTACTAAGAGATTTGCTTTTTAATTTTTTTTGTTCTTGCAATCATGTATGTATAGTAAATGAAACATACAGAAATGTAGGATAAAAATAAAGTCTATCCCTACAGTTTATTATTATGTAAGCAGTGTAACACTCTTCCTCAGCATTTAAGTGTATATATATTTAAAGCCACGCATATATACACAGGCATGTCATATTGTTTTACACTTGCTTTTTAAATTATGTTTAGACTAATGTTATATTACTCTGAAAATTTTTCATATCAAAATATTTTATGGATTTTTTCTATTAAAATGTATATCTCTAATACCCTGTCTAATAGATGAGATACATCAAATACTCTTTTATCATAATTTATAGGTTATTGTCCTAATAATGGATATTTAATTTAAAAATAGAAATATTTAAAATACCTACCCTTATATTTTTCATTACTTGTAATAAAAATTATATTTAATTTGTTCATGTGTCCTATCCTTCACAACATGAGTGGTGGACTCACAAAGTAAATATTTAATTCACTTGGTCATTTATTACCTGAAGGGAGAATAAAATACTATTTACTTAAAATAAATATTTAATACTCTTTAAGCCTATCTGCTGCCAAGTATGGATGATGCTATGTTAAATATATATATATATATATATATATATATATATATATATCCAAAAAGAAATATGCAAAAACTTTCTTTTCATTTGTGTTTTCATGCACCTATACAATGAATGCACTTATGGAGGTTAGTGTAGGCTCCAAGGATTGAACTCAGGTCATTAGGCTTGCCTGACAAGCACCTTTATCCCCTGAGCTATGTCATTAGCTCCCCATTAAGTATTTATAATGTTTAATTGCTTCCTTCATCAACTTATAATGGAAATCATACTAACAACATTGTTGTTAGTAAAACAAAATGTAAGGTTATACAAGTGACTTCTTCACATTTGTCAGATCATCACAGTGATACCTTTCTGGAGACCTGCAGAAAGTATGTGATGAAAAATGAATTAGATGTTTCTTTTTATGTGAAGCAGAAAGGGAAACCCCACCTTATTCTATGTATTCAACTTTATTTCCTCCAGGCTTACAGTTTTGTGAATCTGTCAATAGGTGTGCTTGGTGTACTGAGAAGTTTGGAAAGGCAGTCCAAAATTTCTAAATATCAGGTTGCTACCGTTCATATCTGCAACAGGATACTTTTATAATATTTCAGACTTTAAAAGTCTAATGCTCTCGAAAAACCAAAGAAAAGTCTGATCCTACTCATATCCAATATTAGAGTAAAAAATGTTGAGATCATACTTTGAAAAGATTTTCTTTATGAATTTTAGTATTTCTATTGGGGAAAAAAACCAACTCAGTTTGATCTGCAGTAGTCTAGGTCTCTCTCTCTCCCCTCTCTCCCACTCGGTCCCTCCCCCCTCCCCCATCTTCTCTCCTTACCCCTCCCTTCCCCTCTCTCCTCTTTAAGTTCTTTGAGACAGGGTCACTCATTAAACCTGGAGCTTGGATGGTAGCCTGCAGCCCCAGAAATCAGGGTGGGGCCAGGTAATCATTAAGACCGTTCTTGAACTTTCTGACAATGAGGCTGAAGTAGGAGGGTCATGATCCAACCTGTCGGAAAAGCCATGAAGAAGCAGTGGTGGTGTGTGCTTTTAATCCCAGCACTCAGGAGGCAGAGGCAGGAAGATCTCTGAGTTCCAGGACAGGCAGGGCTACATAGAGAAACCCTGTCTCATCCCACCCTCCCACAAAGAAAGCTAAAAAGAAATTGTCACTATTAATCTTGTACCATAGATTAGCAATTTATTACAGACCCTAGAAACATAGAATTCTTTTGTTTGTTTGGGTTTTGTTTTTAGAGACAGGGCTTTTTTGAGTAGCTCTGGCTGTCCTGGAACTCTCTGTAGATCAGGCTAATCTTGAACTCAGATCCATCTGCTCCTGCCTCCCAAGTGCTAGGATTAAAGACATGCAGACTACCGCCACATTTTTTTTTTAAACCTAGATATATTTTTTTTTAAATGGGAAATCCTTGTGTCATTAGGTAGGACACACACACACACACACACACACACACACACACACACACACACACACATTATATTTTATATAACCAAGTCCATTTAAATGAAAACAAACATTTATAAAAAATATTTGGGAATTTGGGCTTCGTTCTTTCCAAACTACTTCATGCTGGTAAGGGGCGCTGTCATGGGGGATTCTAAGAAGATGCAGAAATCCTGGCTGTAGTCCGTAAGGTTGCTTTGTCCAGCTGTTTTGAATGTAGAATCACCTGGTACTCTGTTTCAGGCGGTCTGGCTTGATCAAACCACATTAGTCTGGAAGGAATCCACAGCTTTTTATTTTATTTTAAGCTCACTTTTCCTTACCTGATTTTTTGGAAGACTCCCATTCAAAAGAACAGTCTTCTCCACAATTAGGCATTTACTTATCATAAACTCATTTGGATATTTTACTGAAATACTGACCTGTGCAGTCTGAATATGTAACCTGTAAAACAATCCCCAGGCAAAGTCAGCTAACCTGACTTTAACTGTGACCTCTACAGCCATTATTCTTGGATGTCTCCCTAACAATGTGTGTTGTTTGTATCACTTTCTTTATCCAGAGCCAGCTTGCCCGAGTCTTCTCCCAAAGTCAATTCCACATTGATTACTCAGGCTCTCTAATCTCCTCTCTATCTGCAAGGGAATGGCTGTTTGGCCAGCTCAGATTTTGTTATGCAACCCCAAGGAGGAAAAGCACAATCGAGCCCTTGACTACTTTCCCTCGGGTGGCTCTTCCATCCTCAGTCAATGCAGGGCCTTCTAAAGAATCTAAGACTGGCGTCACTCAGGGGAATCACAGTGGCTCGATTTAAAGACAAAGCAAATATCCATTTATCCGTCAGACATTTGTGCATCTCCTCTGACAGTTACTAAGCTAGGTGGTGGTGACAGCAGGGTCCCAGTCTCTGCTTGCATGCCTGCAGAGCAGCACAAGTAGAAGCAATAGAAGTTAAGTACTGTCTCACCAAGGAAAGCAGGAGCGAGCTCACAGACTGATGCAAGTGTCGGCCTCTCCCCCTTTATTTTTCTGAGTGCTTTGAAATAGACATCTTTTGGCATTAAGTTTTGTGTGCGTGCCCCATACCTGTGGGTGTTAGTGGAGGCCAGAACAGGACGTTGGATCCGCTGGAGTGACCTGTCACCTGACATAGGGGCTAAGGCCTGAACTTGGGTCGGCAGCAAGCACTCTTCAATCACCTCCCTCTTTGCTTGTTTAGTGTGTTGCCCAGCCTACCTTCATACTCACTGGATAGCTCAGGGTGCCAAGACTACAGGTGTGTGCCCCTATGTCTAGTTAGAGCTAGGCCTAGATGTGAATTTATTAGCATAATCTTAGAGATAATATTTGCTGAAGGAAAAAAACCAAAATACACTTCATCAAAGTGACAAAGACATCTTAGAGTTTTAAAAAAGAACTTAGTTTCTTCCTGTGTTTTATGTTTCTTCACAAATGCAGACTCCAAGCACAGAAGGTGATCCTCTCTTGAAGGTTATAGCTACAGCCATACCATGGTAGCAGTGGGTAGCACATCCCCAGCACTGTTGTGTTCCAGGCCTTGGGAAGTGTCTTGCTTCCCATGTTTCTTCTATTTGCACAGGGGTCTTAGGCGGATTATGTCAATCGCTCTGGTAGTTAGATGAGTAAGTCACAATTTAGAAGTTAGGTTTTGTCCAAGGTCATGCAGATAAGGAAAGTCTAGACTCTGGACAGCCAGACATCCTGCAGAGCCTGTATAAGGTCTCCGCGGCTCGCCCAAGCTCACAAGGAATCCTTTTTGCAGTTCATACTCTTATTCAGAGAATCTGGCTTGCTCTCAGTTAAACAGAGCAGATTTTCACTTTGGAGAATTCTAATCTTTTCTCCTTGCTATCCGTGGGTGTGTTGTAACTTGCCAAGTATTCCACAAAAATCTACACGGTGAACTCTGTTTCCAGTGTTTTGTTTTCGTTCGCTCTTAATATATGCAAGTTGTCTGGATGTCTGCAAACTGAACAAATTTTAAGCACAGGAATGTGTTTAGTGGCTCAGGGAGAAGCTACAGGTTTTGATGAGATGGGGGAAATGTGGGTTTTCTTGCTAACCGGTTAAAGTGTGTTGGTATTTAGTTCTGCGTGGAGGACCTCTCACTGGAAGCTACAGGTTGCGGCAGTTTCACCTGCACTGGGGTTCAGCAGATGACCACGGCTCCGAGCACATGGTAGATGGAGTGAGATACGCAGCAGAGGTAAGGTGCACGCACGGCCTACTCCCTAGGGGACCTTCCGTAGCCCGAGTGGTTCCTCAGCCGCTTAGACACCTCATTGTCTGTGACAGCATCGCTCATCTAACAGGACAGCTTCAAATATGGCCTTTCCTGGCCTTAAACCAATTCCGAGAGCTTAGTGCTGGTTATATATTCAGAAAAGAGTAAACTGAGCTTAGTATGGTGTCGTATGCCTGTAATCCTAGCACTGGGGAGGTCCAGGCAAGAGGATCAGGACTTCTAGGCCAGTAGCCTAGGATATATGACAAGATTCTATCTGACAAAACAAAACCAAAGAGCAATAACACAGAAAATAGCCAGAAGTGTATTTGTTGGGAGGAGGGGGTATATATCGGAGACTGACTTGGAAAGAGTATGTTATCGATCGAGGAATCATTATGATTCCTTTATTTAAAACCCAAGTCATGGGACATTAAACTTCATCTGTTGGCTTTTCCTGAAAGGCCAGAGAGACATTTGTATTATGTTCAGCTCTGTGCATATTTGATCCAGGCATACATAATCAGACATTAGTCAAGCTCACATTCCGTATATAACAACTATGGTGCTTAAGACCCAAACTGTAGGAGCATGAACTTCAGATTGCATCCGAAGAGTTCTAATGGAACCTCTGCTCACTATTCAGACTGTGGATAAACAGCATGGAAGGGACGCTGGCCAGCTCCAGCATGGCGAGCATGGCGATGGCAGGCCTTGCTCTTCTCCTCAGTCCCGCTGCGTTGCTAAAGAAAGCATTAGATTACATCCTTAAAGGTCTATTCCTAGCCACAAAGGTCTATTCCCTTATTTTTCCACTCTTTCCTCCTGATTTGGAAGGCCATGCCAGTGGGATTTGCCTCCTCCTGAGGCTAAGCCCAGCGATGCAAAGCCCCCTTTGGCTCACCTAATTAACTTGCCCCACTAAAATTAGACACCTCATCCTAACCCAGGACTTTCCCTTTTAACCTTATAAAAGCCATTTCCTGTGGGCCACATCTGTCTCCTCTCTATGCAGAAGCTGTCCTTTGTCTCTTCTTCCCTGCCCTTTGTCCCCCTGGGACCCTCCCCACCCTCTCCCTTTTTCCTCCCTCCTTTTCCCTCACCCTCTATCTCTAGTCTTTGTCTCTTATTCATTGCCCTCTGTCCCTCTAGGGCAAATAAATCTCCTTTGTGCTGAGAACTTGGTCTGGGGTCCTAAGCTGATACTATCCTGAGCTGATACTATTCCTTTCAAGCACAAAAGTAATGATCCATTGTCTTGTTCCCTTTTCTCTGGTAAGGTAGTCCTCTTTTGTTAAAACTGCATTCGTTACCAGTGCTCTGAGTAAATCCTCTGCTTAAAATACAGAGTGTGATGTACCTCATCTTAATACCATTAAATAGCACTGAACTTTACTGAGAGATGAAAGCCAAGTCTTACATGACTCAACAAAGTCTATTCGAGTGAACCCAGCTTGGCCTGCGAATTATCTAGGCAAGACTGAGCAGTTAGTTACCAGGTGGTACAGACTCCCTTAAGCTTTTAATGTTTCCGAGGTTTTGGTTAGACACCCAGGATAACGCTGTCCAGAAAGCCAGCGAATGGAACTTCTTTCCCAGCTTCCATATTTGTTTGCATGGGCACTTGGCCTTCCAGGCTGCCATCTAATGTGTACATTATGCCAGTGTTTGGTGTTGCAGCACCTTGCTCCGTCCTCAGGGAAGACAGGGTGAAGTGATAGGTGGTCAATTGTCTGGCAACAGTGACAGCATGTGATCTGAAGAGTGGCTGTGGGGTTAGGAAAGGCTTCTTTGAGGTGGTATGTAAGTTGGGAGAAAAGGACAAGGAGACATCTCTGTGAGAAAAATCTGGACTCAACAGGGCTGTCCAGGGAGAGAGAATAGCAGAGAATATTGCTGCGTGGTAGGAATGAGGTCAGCACACTCAGGAAAAGAAAGGCTTCGATTTCTAGGCCTGGGATTGGTGAGAGAGAAAAGGAGGAGGACCCGTCCTGCAGAGAGCACTGACCTGTCCTGCTTTCGATTTTCTAAGATGTACCTGACTGCCCGCCCAGTGGAGAACAGGCTGTTGTGGGGCAAATGCTGAAGGAGGGAGACAAAGCAGAAGGCTATGGAAGAGTTGAGGGGAACTGTGGTACTTTGTGCAGGAGTGAGAAGCACTGGAGAGGTCTATGATGCACTTGGAAGGCCACGTCAGTAGCACCTGCCTATTGCAAGGATGCTGAGCTTCAGGGGGCTGTCAGTACAAACCTGGACTTTAAAGGGGGGTGCCAATGCTGGAAATGCTAGTGTAGGGAGACTATCACACCAGAAAAATCCCTTCCGTCTCAGCTCTGGAGATGGCTCCAGTGTGTTACCAGCTTTTCTAGACACTTTCGCTTAAGATCATAGCTGTAATCAAGTTACGTCCCCCGTCATGAAATTGAAACAAAAAACAGACATTTTAAATCACAACACGTGAAAACGTGATGTTTCAACCATGATCTGTGGCATTATAGGAATGTTAAGGAAATCTCATTATGAAAAATTTTGTGCCAACACACGCACAAGTTGAACAGGAACGGCCTCCATAGGCTCACGTGTTTGAGCACTTGGTCCCCAATTGATGATGCTATCTGCGAAGGTCTAGGGGGTTCGGCTTTGCTGGAGGAAATCACAGAGGGCAGGCTCTGAGGTTTCAAAGACTCTTCCCCAGGGTTAGTGTTATCGGGAGGTTGATGAGCCTTTGAGAGGAGCGGCCTCAGAGGAAGTCCTTGGGTCATTACCATTGAGCCTTTGAGGGGCATCGTGGGACTTTGCCCCATCACTTGACTATTTGCTTCCTGGTGATGAGGTGACCAGTTTTGCTCTGCCAGGCACTCCAGCTGAGATGCACTACTTTGCCACAGACCGAAAAGCCAGGAGCTAGCTGATGATGTACTGAGACCTTTGAGGCTGTGAGCCTGAATGAACTTTTTTGCTTTTTATAAAGGAATGACCTCAAGACCGATGAAAAGCTAACACCTTGATGTAGGAGAAGCACAAATCAGATTTCCACATTAATGGTAGATTTTTGTCATATTACTTGGCAGCATATTTTTCACATTACAAATGTTCATCTTAAAAGCACTAAAGTTAAGTAATATATTTAGAAATGATTTTACCAGTAAGTAAGAATCTTAAAACAGTCTCACAGCAAAGCTTTGGCTGGCCTGGGACTCACTGTATAGACTAGGGTGACCTCAAACTCATAGAAATCTACCTGTCTCTGCTGGTGCTCAAATGGTGGAATTAAAGGTGTGTGCTGCTACACCCTGTGGGAAGAATCTTAATCTGATTATTGTGGGGGCTAATTACCTGTCATTCATCCCTAATCGACATCCCTGTTAGTCGGGAAGTAAAAGGTTGTTAATTTGTTAGCTTTTAACATGGAAAAAAAAAGCCATATATGAAAGTAACACCAGTTACTCCATTGAACGTATTATAAGGTCATATGGAGGAGAAGATTTTCAAAACAGATTTTCTTGCTCTGGTTTCTTATCATATTTCAAACAGTTGTTATTTAGTCAGCAGAAGGGTGTCTACATAGGAGATTTCTTTCTTTGTATTTACACACCCATTTTTCTAACCAGTTGGGTTCTTGCGTTCTTGACTCTTTGATGCCATTTCTCACTAAGCGAGCTATTTAAGGAGTTATTGTAATTGGCACCAAGCCATTTGAAACAACTTTAGCGCCCTCAATGGCCCATCCCCGCAGTGGAACGCTCTTTATCTCTCCTGAGCTATGTGAACCTTGTTTCATCATGCAGTGTTTTCAGGGTTCCCCCCCCCACCCCTATCTCACACCGACCAGGAATGCGGTGTAGAATCCACCTTTGTGTATGTCTGCCTGAATACCCCTTTGTTTCCTTTGACTGCACATGGATGTTGCACTACTTTATAGTTTTATAGTTTTGTGTGTGTGATAATTATCTGATCGGAAACTCTTTATATTAGTTGCCTATAGGATACGGAGTTAAATTTGAAGGATGGGGATGAGAGGATGTATTTGAATATGCCACATTCTCTCTGTGACAATTGGCTGTGAGGGTGATTTGAGCAAGAAGCCTTCCTGAATGGCCAAGCAGTTCCCCTAAGGATACCAGGTGGTCCCTGGTATCATCAGGTCCTTGCCTGCAACAACACGGGCTGGCCTTCAATGTTTATGATAGGAACTAAATCTTCTGGGCATGGCATAATGCCCTTTGGCTTCTCTCTTTCCTTCTTCAGCTTGGTTATTCTGTAGTTTCTTATATTCCTCTGTGTTCAGGATACTCTATTGCTCACATGATCTGACATGTAGGTTTTTGTTGGGTTTTGCAATTGTCTACTTGTTTGAGAATTAAGTTGTAAAGTTGTCTACTTTACAACTTACCTTTTCTAGAGTCTCAAGTTCTCAAACCTCTCTCCCTTTCTCCTAGCAGCCTCTCTCTTCGTGTTCAGACAGCTGTAAATACAAACTGCCTATATCAGTCAGCTCAATATGATCATGGAAATACTGCATCCCTACATCAGAACACTGCACGGTACCCCATAAATGTATGCAACTATCATTTAACAGTACAAAGAATCTAATAATAAAAACATGACTAGGTCTACAATAGTTTATAATGAGGAGAAATTGCATTTCCCAGGAACAAAAATGCGAGACTATAATGATAAATATATGACAGGTCAGTTTCAGAAGCAACCTTGTTATCGTCATCAGCCACTCTATAGGATGTTGACTTCCTGTTCCTGTAGAGCCCAGGCACCTCAGTGGACCCCACTGGCAGCTGGTGTCTGATCCATGCCTGCTCATTTGCAGTAACTTCGGTGAGGGCCAGAGGCTCCCGGTCACATAAGAACAATATTGGAGTATGGTAGGACTGGAGAAACCGGAAAGAATGTTCAGAACATAGTAAATGAGCTTTCAAATAGTTTACCAAAGTTAGGTAGGACCCTGCAAACCTTCTGATCCCTATTTATTTGAGTTGATTTGGAGGATAAAGGTTTCTGTTGCTGTGCAGAGACACCATGACCTCGGCAACTCTTATAAGGGAAAGCATTTAATTGGGTTAGCTTGCAGTTTCACAGGTTTAGTCCATTATCATCATGGTGGGGCATGGTGGTGTGCAGGCACTCATGGTGCTGGAGAGGGAGCTGAGAGTTCTACATCTTGATCTCCAAGCAGCAGGAAGTGAACTGTTTCACTGCCTGTAGCTTGAGCATCAGAGACCTGAAAGTCTACCCCCACAGTGACACACTTCCTCCAACAAGGTCATATCTACTCCACCAAGGCCATACCTCCTAATAGCACCACTTCCTAAGGGCTTGTGGGGGCCAGTTGCATTCAGACGACTATAGATTCCTTACCCACTTGAGGTCCCAGCGCCAGACAGTTGTATCAATGTTTCGTTTGCATTTACATTTTTTGTCATGCTTATGTGAATGTTTGAACTACGTTGTGTGCTTTCTTTTTAGCTCCATGTTGTCCACTGGAATTCAGACAAATACCCCAGCTTTGTAGAGGCAGCTCATGAGTCGGATGGGCTAGCTGTCCTGGGAGTATTTCTACAGGTGAGAATCTGCTGTTGCACTTTGATAGTTTTAAAGAGCAAACTAGTTCTAAATAGCATTCAACTAGTTTCAAATAGCAAACTAGTTCTAAGTAACATTCAACTAGCTTTAGACAGCCAACTAGTTCTAATTTTAGTATTTTCCTTTTGAAGTGAACAGTAAAATGTTCCCTAATAATTTGGAAACAGTATCTAATTATTTTTCCCTATTGCCAGTTGAGGATTTGTATGTGAGTAGCAACTGATGTATCAACAAGAATAGCAGTAGAAATAACAGCTGAAGTCCCAAGGAGAAATCTAGGTGCATCCAGTTCCTGACTTCAACATTTAGAGACCTAGAACAGCGGAAAATTCAAGCTTATGATTCTTGAAGCCCTTGTTTGACCACATTGGCAAATCATCTAAAAAGTGCTGATCAATTGTCTTGGGAAAAAAAAAAGTGTCAAGCTTCTCCTTTTCTGATATTTGCATGGGGACAGGCAAGTCCTGTTGTGACGCCTGCGGACAGTTTCTTTAGGGTGTGCTAGTTTTCCATGCCTCATTATCAGTGTGATGTTGTAACTTGTGGAGTTGGGGTGGGGCTGAGAGGCAGAGACTGGGAGTGATGTTGGGAACAGCAAGACTTTCTTGTGAACTCTAGGTGGTAGCAACAGGAAACAGGTCTGCCAAGAGAAGGTGCTCAAATATTAGGGGTTTAAACCTTTGGGTAGATTGAGAACACCCCTATTAGAGAAAGACAATTGTTTTATACATTTGTATTTAGGAAGCATATGCTCTTCAGGGTAGAGCCTCTTGGTCTGGGACTCCAAGTAACTTTAAGCTACAAGTAGGGTATCTAAGAGTTCATGAAAGATTTGGTAGTAGCCTGGATCTGAATGTCACAGCTGTTAATAGGCAGCCACTTTCCTAAACAGGCTTTCTCTCCAGTTAACCTGTATCTAAATGTGGCTCAGCAGTTAAAGAGTGTCCGATGCTCTACCAGTCATCAGGGCCTGTAACTCCAGCTCCGGAGAATCTGACATGCTCTTCTAGACTTCTTCAGCATCCACGTGTATATGGCTGATATCCATACACACATACACAAAAGTAAATAAAATAAAAACAAAAATATATCTTTTGTAGCTTGCCTGAAGCATGTGAAGCTCTTACGCCCAGCTTTGGAATCAGACTGTAGGCGCAGTCTAGGATACCCACAATTATCTTGTTCAGATTCTGGTGGCATAATCAGCTTGTGAGGTAGAAGAGAACTTTTGTTCTCGGACAGTCACTGTAGGCTTGAGCTGACTCTGGCTTTTAGAGTTAAGGACTGAAATGGAACGCTTGTGTTGATTGACCTCTGTAACTATTTCTGTTTTAAAATTTTACATTTTTAGATTGGGGAACACAATCCCCAACTACAAAAGATCACTGACATTTTGGATTCCATTAAGGAAAAGGTAAAATTAATTACTGCCTGTTAATGACTAACAGCTTGCTTCTCTCCTGAATTCTTTTGCCTTCTTGTGAAATCTTACACATTAGGCATAGCATATCCTATTTTCTTTGAAGCAAAGTTTACCGGTTGAAGAAGTTTACCAGACCAAAACTATAGAAAGAAACTTACTGTCACTCATCTTTTTAAAGTTGTAAATAGCCTGATATTACCTAAAATAATCACCAACAAATCTATGCAGATTTAAGTTCTCAGTATTATAATTGAGAACATATTAGTATTAATTTATAATTATAACGAATTAGACTAATATAATTATAATAAATAAACAAGACACATTATAACTTATTTAAAAGACTGTATATAAAATAAAATTTTTTCTTGACCTGGGATCTCTCTACATATGTCATACTAGCCTGTTATTCCCTTTAAAGCACAACTGACCTTGAACTCATGATCCTCTTGCTCTACCTCTTGACTGCTAGGATATAGGTATGTGCCTGACTCCTATCCTTCTTAAATAAATCCATAGAATTTGTGTGTGTGTGTGTGTGTGTGATTTGTAATCTGCATTAATTCTCTTTTTATTTTTTCAGGGTAAACAAACTCGATTCACAAATTTTGATCCACTGTGCCTGCTTCCATCATCCTGGGACTACTGGACATACCCTGGTTCTCTGACAGTTCCACCTCTCCTTGAGAGTGTCACATGGATTGTTTTAAAACAACCTATAAATATCAGCTCTCAACAGGTATGGTGATTCTTCCAATCTTGTGATGTTCTCAGGGGAAACTGCTAAGTCATTTTCTAATGCTGTTTTTATTTCTGGCACATTTGGGAGCCTGACATTTTCTTTCATGAATCGTTGGACTAGATACAACTTGTATTCCTCTTCTCTCTCTCTCTCTCTCTCTCTCTCTCTCTCCTTCATTCTTTCTTTCCACCAGATATCGCTATGTAGCCTAGCTTAGCCTTGAAATAGACGCTTTCTTCTTCAGGCTCCCCGGTGCTGGGGTTACAGGCATGTGCCACTATTTGAGGCACGTGGTTTTGATCACTCTCTTAATTAACCTTTTGTATAAGTCCTTACTTAAATCACCGCTCAGAAATGTTATGTTCTTAAACTTTAAGTGGTTCTTAACCTGTGGGTCGTGATGTCCACGGGGTCATGCATCAGATATTTACGTTACAATTCATAACAGAAACAAAACTATAGTTAAGGAGCAGCAACAAAAATAACGACCCGGGTTTCACTACAACATGAGGAACTGTTTTAAAGGATCGAAGCATTAGGAAGGTTGAGAACCACTGCCTTTAAGCCTCTTTGAGGGTACATTACTTTGAAGGCCCCATTATTTGCTTTTTATTGATTCAATCGACATAGCAACAGTACCATGCAGAGAGAAAAGCTAGTAGTCAGGAACCTCAAGACAGTCCTCTCCATCTCCCGTCAGCCCCTAGACTGTTGCTGCCACAGATTCAGAAATGAACACTGAAATCAGTGTCAGGCACCATCCCCTGAGAAATGTGCATACCCCGTAGCTTCAAGGAGAGAAAAGGCTGCCTACTTGCACCTTCAGGAGGGGAACTCTCCCGTCACGTGTTTCTACTGCAATAATGGCAGTTGGATTTTGACTTTTGTTGGCACAACTTTTATGGGGCTGCCTGAGTGAACGTCGCTAAGAGGCTGCTCCCATCTGGGCCGTCCTTGGCAAAGCATTTACTCAGGCATTTTTTCCTTGTAAACCTCTGTGTCTTCAAAGCGATAGGGGTGAAATAAAGGGGCTTGCTCATGCTGTACCCCTACCCTCGTTTTTCTGTGATATGCTTATTGAGCCCTCAGAGGAGGCCACCGGGACTGGGGTCTCAGGATGTCCTAAGTCCTTAGAATTGTGTTCCTGAATGTTATGTTTCTTAGGAGATTTTGTCTCATCTCTGTTAGGGTTTTTAAAATGAGGCACTGCAGTCTTCACAGCAATGGCTCTAGTTATTGTTGCAGTGAGTTAGTATGCCTTCCTGCTCTAGGCCTGCGTATCTGCCTGGCTGTGTATTCTCCACTTCACCTCTATCAGGTTAAGTCTGGTTCAGCTTTCCAAGGTCATCTCAGGACAAGATTTCCCTTGGGGGTGAGGACTGAGCTTGTGTTGACTGTTTCCCCTTATTACCTTTGTATTTAGAGTTACAGACAAATAACAACTTAGTGCGTAGTTATTAAAATACTTCATAAAAGTTCGGATAAAATCCAGGGCTCCTGGGACTGGACAGATGGCTAAGCATTTAAGAGCACTGGCTGCAACCCCCACATGGCTACTCACTGTGGTCTGTAACTACAGTCCCAGGGAATCCACCACCTTCCTCTGGCCTTCATGGAACCAGGCATTCCAGTGATGCATACGCATACATGCAGACAGAATACTACTGTACATTAAAAAGCCAGGAACCCTGTGATTTTGTCCATCATCTAACGAGAAAAACAATGACCAGCTTCTGATTTAGTGACCTTATAAATGAGGTTAATTTTCTTCCTTTCACTGACTAAATTGCTTGTTTTTACTCATTTATTAAACTTCAAAACTTAGTTAAGTATTATAACTTCAAGATGGCTAATGGCAGATGGGATAAGTTTCCCTTCATAGTTCAAGAACATCTTTATTCTTTAAAGACACTTGAAAAATAACTTTGGGTTATTGCTTTTTTTCCCCCTAATCCACAAGTGATTCAGATGAGGACATTATCAAAAATATATAATTTAATTCTTTAGTGAGAATAAAATGAACCTTACTAAAAGTAACTCCCTACGAAGTTAGGTATTATAATTGTCTCAACTGTGTATTCACTGCTGTGTTATATTTGAGGTTCACTGGACTAAAATTGTTAATGTGACTTGTCATGTATAAGAGTATTCGAGAGAATGGCTTAATTTCGGAGCTCCTGTGGATTGGCAATTTCCTTTGAAACATTAACTTAAATTGACTTCAGCTAGGACATTGTTAGATATTTCAATCTTAACCAGACTGAGGGAGATATTGAATGACCATTCAAATTACTATTTAAGGAATGAAGAAAAATATATTTAAAAACTCCACTTTCAACTTAATTACGGGGAAAGGAAAGTCTAATATAAAGCCCTGTTAGATGCCATAACATAGAATATTTAATTTGGATTCCATTTAAAATTATCTAAAGGGAAACGAGACTGAGAAACTAACAAGAAATGTCAAGGGATTGCCAGGGGCTTTTGCTCTGTGGCAGAGCACGTGTCCAGTGTCCTGCAAAAGCCTTGGCTTCAACCCCCAGTGCCGAAAAACAGAAGAAAGTAAATAAAAGTCATTATGACGCAAAACCAAAGGTGGTCTGAGGATAGGAGAGATAAATCAATGATGCCAACTTGCTGTCTCATCAACAGTTATGGAAAGTGTACCACAGAATGTAAGTCATGATTAACAGGGAAGCTGGGTTTGGAATATGTGGGGAATATTTGTAGCTTCTTTTTCTAAAATATGAAGCTTATAAACATGAACAACTTTTCTAGAAAGTTATATATTGGGAAAATTTTTAATTTTTAAAGCTATATGTTTAGTTCTAAAATTTCTGTTTGGTTCTCATTTTTATTTTTATTTCAATTATTTGAGATTCTCCTTCACTTTCTAGATTTCTCATGTACAAAAGAAAAATGTGCTTTGTTTACAAATGCTGTGATTACAAATGCTACTTTCAATATCCTGTTTTTTTGTTTGTTTGTTTGTTTGTTTTGGTTTGTTCCAGACAGGGTTTCTCTGTATTGCTTCAGAGCCTGTCCTGGCGCTCGAACTGTAGACCAGGCTGGCCTCGAACTCATAGAAATCTGCCTGCCTCTGCCTCCCAAGTGCTGGGATTAAAGGTGTGCGACACCAACTCCCAGCTACTTCAACATCCTTTTAAGCTACAGTGTGCAGTTATTTCACCGAGAATGTGCTCCGTTGTCTTGAGTCAGGTGTCATGTGGCCTCTTCACTTCATTGTATGATATGTTAAGTTGCAGAAACCCTGTATTCTGTTGTTTTCCTCTGATGAGTGTCTTTTTCTTTACCTCCAGCCAGTAATTGTTTGAGGCGGGACATGTTCAGGTTGTTTCCTGTGCCACAGGCTTGGTCCTACCGCAGTGGACTGGCTTGGATTCTGTCTCCCACAAGTGTGTTTAATAGATCAGTCAGAAATATGGGCAGAGAATTGGAGGTTCCTCTCTTTGGTCATTTTCCTGCAGGAGAAGTGTCACATTGTGTCTGTGTTTACCTTACATGCTGTACTGATCTTTAGCTGGAGAAACAGACCACACTTGGAGCTTGGCTGTTCTCATTTTCCTTCTTCAAGCAAACATGCACCCCTCCCCCACCATCCTCCACCTTTAAGGTCTTGCTACTGTTTGTTTTCATAGCATGCCTGAGTTTGTAGCTGCCCACAGGGAGATTGCCTTTAGGATCTTGGAAGACCTATCTAGGAACAAACCCAAACCATTCCACTTTTAATGAGAAAATTTTGTATTTTGCGGTCATATATAAAATTCTGTGTCTTTGAAATTAGTATACTGAGTTATGGAATATTGTTTCCAAAATGCTAGGGTTTTTTTTTTTTTTTTTTTTTTTTTTTTTTTAGTCATGGTCCAGGGAGAAAGTAATGTGTAAAAGTGGCCCTCATCCTTGACAATTTGTAACCTAACGGGATAAAATAAATGTGCAGAACCATTACACCGTGGACTGTGACTGCCACATAAAGGAGACAGGATGGTGGAAATCCTAATCAATCAGACATTCTCAGTGGAGAGGCATCAGGGGACAAGCCATAAATAATTGGCATTGGGGTGTTTAAAAGCTTAAATGGTATCAAATGGTTGTGTGTGGAGGGAGGGGAGTAAAGAAAGGAGGGCATTTTTGGAAATTATGAACCCATGGCCACATCTTTGTAGATGTCAATGCTGTGTCAAGCAATCTCCTTGGAGAAACTGACATAATGTGAACCCTCGGGCTTTTTTACAGATTCATAGGTCCAGGGTAAGATATGCAGGTCTGAACTTTTGGGAATGGCCCTAGTCTTGTCATTTATGTGTTCTGAGATTACCTTCCCGAAAGTGGCATCTGTGTGGTACCTGAAGATGTAGATCTAGAAAGATCTAGAAAAGTTAGTAAGATGGTGGTAGTCTAAGGCTCAGAAATGATGCTGTAAAGTTACACCGTGTTCCTATTAAAGGGCTTGAAGTTTCACTTCTTACAGAGACACATTCTGAAATGTTTGAACTGAAATGATACAATGTCTAGAATTAACCTCAAAGTCAGCTGGATTGAGCAGCGTGGATTGAGTAGGGAGCATATGTTGGTGGCTGAAGTATTCCTGCTACTTTATTAATGTTTCTGCAATAAAAGCTAAGTGAAAGCAGATTAAAGTAAGATGGTTGGTTTTTTTTTTTTAATTTTAATGCAGTTTATTTCTGTGGTAGTCGATGATAGATGTGGTAATTGACAGATAACTTGTTTGTTGAAATATCCCAGCTGCCTCTTGAGATTGTCATTACTGAGATGGGGTAACAGTACATTGCTGATAAGTTATTTGGGGGATTAAATAAAATAATGTGGTGTAAAGCACTCAGCACAGTGTCTGGATCCCTGTGATCCAGAAAGGAGCTCATTTTCATTATTACTCAACTTTGGTAAGCAGTGGAGAGTTCTTAAAGGTGGCTGAGCACTATTGTGACACAAATTACTTACAGGATTTCATCTTGCTGAGGTTGCTACTAGAGGAAATGAAGATCTTAGTCGTGGAGGCCAGGAAACCAGCAAAGCAGGTCACACCTACCTCAGCCTCCAGGCTATGTTGGGATGTCTCTGCTGAGAATGGGTGGTTGCTGAGTCAGCCATGGTGAAAGAGGGGCAAGTTTCCTACCTGAATAGGCCTGTGCCTACGTGAGGGGATAAGATGTCTAAGCCAGCCAGGTAGGTCATGAAGCCAAGAGAAACCAAGCTCAGTGGGGTTTGGCAGGTCCTACCTAGCTGGGTGAAGCGATGGAGATTACTAAGAGAGGTTTAGGAATCTTAGCAAATGAGCAAGCTGACAGAAGAAAGGTAAGACTCAATTCTTCACTGGTGAGGTTAAAGGGATGCAGAGGTAGGGATCTAGAACAAGCTTCCAGAGGAATTGTATGGTGTGTGTGTGTGTGTGTGTGTGTGTGTGTGTGTGTGTGTGTGTGGTCCTGGAAGGCTCATAGGTCACTCTCTTGAAGTTGAACTGCATTCCCAGCACCATCCCTTTGACCGGAGTTATGACCAGGGTTACATTAGCCGCTGTCACTGAATTTAATCAGCAATTCTTTCTCTTAAGTCTTAGCAGTTTTCAACTAGAATGATCTACTCTGGTACAAATGACTATTCATAAGTTGTAATCATTGCCTCCTCATTCCCATGTCGGGGCTCCTTAAAAGGATGTGGAATAACATTTCTTGAAGACACAGTTCTGCTTCTGAGTGGATGATTCTGCATCCACAGTCCATGGTTATAAGCTACTGTGTTAATGGTGAGAATCTTTCTTTCCTGCCTCACCCCTGGCTGATACTGTACAAGAAATGAAGAGGATGGGAGTCTAGCTGATGTGGATGTGAGGCCAAAGGACTAAAGCTTCATAGAGAACAAAGGCTTTCAACCTAACACTAAAACAGCAGAAATCAAAACAAATGGCAAACCTTGTTCTAATAAGCAGTTTCTCTTTGTAAAACATGAGGTTGGAATTACTCAGGTAATTTATCCAGTATTTATTTTATCACTGTAGACTTTTGCAAAATCTTAGTAAACAATATTAAACGTCCCTAGATTATTGGAATCTCATAAATCACATTTTTTAACAGACAACATGTGTATAGAGCTCTGGAGCAAGTATAAATAGTGTGTAAAGTTAGGTTTATTGATATGCAAAAATACTTATAGCATGTATCATGTGGAAAAAAAATACCAGGTATGTTTGAGCACATTTTTGTAATGAAATATCTTAGCTGTGTGTTGTAGTGGGGAGGCATAGGGAAAGCTGTTCTATGAATACCAGTGTGCACTATTTAGATCACATCCTACTTTTCCAACTTTGATTCTCAAGTGCAAAACGTTTATATTCTTAATTTTAGATCCATCATTATTTATATAGTGAAGAGAACCAAACAGAACAATTCTTTATGATCTGTGAGCTGTAGCTTAGAAACTTCCATTGCAATATTTTTAGATGCTAGTAGAGGAAGAGACTCTAACTCTTTTACCTTTTCCACACAGCTGGTTAAGATCAGTCTGACTTTCTATGGAGAAATTAATTCTGCTCTAATTTTCAACAGCTCGCCAGATTCCGTAGCCTCCTGTGCACAGCTGAGGGGGAGGCAGCAGTTTTTCTGTTAAGCAATCATCGTCCACCACAGCCCTTGAAGGGCCGCAGAGTGAGAGCATCTTTCTATTAACAGCCGCCATTGGGTCAACCCAGCTAGGAGCACCGAGGCGGCGAACAAAAGAGAACTCAGACACTCCTACCAACAGCTTTCCTAGACTTTCAGGGTTATAGAATCCACTTTCCCAGCAGCTTTGGCGCTACAGAGAAAACCAGAGAGAGGTCTGAACTAACTTAGCTCATCTCTCCTAGATTTACACCAACACTTGTCCAATTGGTAAACATTGTTGGGTGTATGCTAATACCACAAAGTACACCTGTTCAGCCTTCATGACCATATGGTCAACCTTACAAAGCTCAGACTGTACTAAAAGTTTGTTGTGGCCTTTGGCTGATCCTGCCACTTTTTAAATGGGGTTTGCTAAAGACTTCAGATTCAATTTGAAAATGTTATAATTCCTAAACAAGTAGTTCTTACAGTTTTTATATTCTTATTAATCAAGACTATGTATTTCCTTTAATGTATTTTTTTTTCCTCTGAAACTCTCCTGTGTACTGTGATATAATATACTACATGAGGTTCATAGGGATTAAGATAGAATGATGTGTCTACTTTTCTGATCAAAGTAACATACAACTTTAGTGCAGAATTCTTCAGGATATAAACAGCTGTTTAAGGCATTGTTTCATGTAATATATTCACCTAAGGATGTTAATGACCACGAAAGTGATGACTGACATATTGTGTGGCAGTGTTGGCAGGCTCATGGCATTAACACGGTTCAGAATGTCAGGTCTGAACAATACTACTGCAGCAAAACTGCCCTGAGCTGGTGAACAGGTTCCTGCATTTGCCCTGTGTTTTAACAGAGCAGGGAACTGTCCTGTGTCTTGTTTTATTCTGTCACTAGTGAAACACTGATCCAAGTCTCACAGAAGTGCCTAAGCCATCCAGTGCATTTTCCTGGTACAGCTCATTTCTCTTTTGTGCATGTTGCTAAGTCTCTGATTTAGTAAGGTACCATTTGGTACTAATTTGAACCTGTTCTATCTGCAGAGGTTTTTGTTTGCATTTGGTGAAGGAGGATGGGTGATATATATATATATATATATATATATATATATATATATATATGTATATATATATATATATACACACATATATATATATAGTTTGTTTTTGTTTTTTGCTTTTCCATTATGGAGTGACCCTATCATTAACTCAATACCCATGCTTAAGAGTGAGTTGAGTATTTGTTACATTTTTCACTATTTTCTCAGAAAAATGTCCCTGGGTTTCTTAATTTCAATGATTTGTTTTATATCTCTCTCATCTTTTAAATGTAAAGTTAATTATTGAAAATGTTCTTTGTTTTCTTCTTGGTAGAATAACTTCATTTTGAGAAAATTGTATGATGAAGTATACTGTCACAAAACACAAGAGCCTGAAGATTAGAACAGACACGTCAGCCATTTTTTCTCTCTCTCAATGTCCAACTTAGGCTTGAGGAAGACCCACATACCATAAATATTTACTGAGTTAGATAGTTAAAGGATTTATTTGATAATCAGTGCAGCCAAATTAATTTAATAATAGGACATCTCTTGAAAATTTTTTAAAGGTCATATTTATTAACCCACTTTTTTGTAACCAGAGATCCTAATGGTTTTAAACATATCAGTGTTGGCTGGGAAGGCTATTTCTTCAGTTTCGAAACACGTGCAGAGAAAGTGTTCTAGTCAGAGAAAGAGTCTGTTTCACCGACGTGTGTGAAGGTGGGTCTCTAATGACATCTAATATTACACAATTGGTAACCCGTTTTTCACTGTAGCATTGGGTCTGCTCTGTGATATACATCTCATCACAGTGGGCTAAAACTGCCCACCTAGCACTGGTTCCCTTGGAGAACATCTGCTTATGTAGATCTCTTAGAGTTAGACGGTCGGTGTTTTAAAGTTGCCATAGTAGTCTCTTTCAGTAGAATTTTAAGTCACTCATGTGGATGTCTTATTTCTCACGTTACCTACTGATTTCTTCTTGTTATGAATTTTGTATTATTCAATTTGATTCCGCTTTAATAAAGAAAATGAGAAAAACACTTGTCAGTAGCAAGGCTTTGTACATGCAGCAAACGGAATTGGATTATATATTTTAAACTGTTTAAAAGGAAATAAGCTCAAATTTACAAGAACATTTCAAACACAATGCAAAGCAAACAAAACTATTTCCCCCCCAGATTTTTTAAAAGTAAGATGCCATCCCAAGTCCTTACAGTTTCAGTGTATGCGCACCAATAACCTCATGCTTTGCAATGTGAGGGAAGAGCACAAAATTCTCAATGTTGTTCAATGGAAAAGATACCTTGTTGTATTGATTTAAATGGATTGTTTTCCTCTGGAGTGGCTGGAGACTCACCTTTGACTCCCTGAAGAGGAATTATGCCAGCAAAGAATCTTCTGGTCCTGCTGAGGGTTGAGAGAAGTCTTCCTGACAGAGCCTAGTAATTCCTTGCTTTGCTCCCATTAAAGCAAATCACCCAGTGAGAGTGTGTGGGTTCATTAAACATTCCTGTTAAGGAGTTTGTTTTTAGTACAGGTTATTCTGGATGGAGACTGAAGCTGGTTTTTCTCAGCTGTGCTCGAAGCAGGAGAATCCAAGAAATTCTTGGGGAGTGTATGTCTTCGTGAGTTCAGAAAGACTCAGCCTCAAGTTTCTGATGGAAGGTGTGACTTATTAAAAAAAAAAAAAAGAATGAATGAATGAAGATGTGTCATTTTGATGAGGACCTCCGGAAATGACACCTTTAGACCTGCAATTCCAGTTATCTGTGGTTGACTGATGATGGAAGGAGTTGGAGGTATAGAGAGCCCCTTTGGGGCCTCAGCTGTTAGCATTGAAACAATTCTAATTGATGACAGTTTGCCCACAGGAAGGCACAAATTATGCAATAGTTCAGATGGAGAGGGCAAATACTTGTAATTAATGCCAAAAGGAATGGAAAGATCATAAACAAAAACAAACAAAACCACAGGACAGTGAGACAACCAACAGATTGCTAAGATCATTGAGCCTTTCCATTCCTTACTGGGCGACTGTTCCCTGTGGTAGTCTAGGAGCCATGGCCACACACCTGAAGTTAAGTAGGCTTGAAGACCAGCCTCATCGTCACTAAATCCTTCATTATTATTTACTGAGAGGCCCAGCTCTTTGGAACCCTGCTTGAGGCAGAGAAATATGGAGAGCAGTCTAGATTTTCCCAGTGGTGGCACTCATTTGGGTGGTCTTCCTTTAAGTGGGTCACTGTGAGACTGGACTGGAGATTCCCAGAGGTGAAAGACCCTTGCCACACATCTATTGCCCCCTGGAAATTTAACGATGACTTTACTGGGTATCTTATATACTAATTACTGTGCTAGATATAAAGATGACTGAGAGGCGATTCCTGCTCTTAGGAAGCTCAAATATTCCAAGCTCTGTGAACAGATTTGATCACTATAAGATACCAAATTTCTTGGGATACTCATGGAGTGCCATGGCAACATGGAAAAGATGGATCTAGTGTTGGAGATTAACGAAGTCAGAAAGGTTTCCCCTCTTGAGGGTTTTGAAACTGGTACACAGGGTATGGACAAATATCAGGATTATTTTGAGATGATATAAATTTCAAAGTAGAGGAGGCAAATAGTGGTATTTACTGACTCACAAAATTAAGAGAAAAAATCCAGAGGTAGGGGCTGGAGAGATGGCTGCAGAGGACCTGGGTTTAGTTCCTAGCAACTCTGCGGTACCTCACAACCATCTGTAATTGCAGTTCCAAGAGAGATGATGCCTTCTTCTGAACTCTGGGGCACAAGGCACACATGCAGTACACAGATACATGTAAACAAAATATTAATACACAAAATAAATATATTTTAAAAAATTTTAAATCTAGACATTAAAATCAAAGGCAAAGCAACAACCAAGACCAAGCCTCAGTCTAATACACCCTTGGAAGTTCTATTAACTACCAGTGTATATCCATTACCCCCTCTGTGAGCCAAAGTAATGCCAAAGGACAGGTTCTCTGTCCACAAATACTAAAATGTATCTGGCCTGGATTTTCTTTGGCTAAGAGCAAATCTTCCCAATGTTTAACCAAGTCACCATAGCCAAGGGAAGAGGTATCTCTATTTAATCTTTTCCTATTTTTTTCATAGTTACCTTTAACCCCAGCAGGGAAGAAGCAGAGGCAGAGAATCCAATCACTGCCTGTTTGAAGACAGCCTGGCCATCATGAGGAGTTCCAGGGAGGATGTGAGTGGCAGGGAAGAAAGAAGAGGAAGGAGGAGGAGATGGGATGAGAGAGGGGGAAGGATGTAAGGAAGGAGGGGAGGGAGGTCAGGAAAGTATTTTTTGAATACTAGTGAATGAACACGTGGATGAAAATAAATGCTGGCATTAGCTGCAAGACTAGCACAGTTTGCAATGTATTTTTTCCCCCAATGAAATAGCAGGTGCTCAAGATTATTCAACTAAAAACACAAACAATTTGCTATCTAAAAGAAACACTGCCTTGGCAGTTATGAAATCACTCCAAAATAAACTGGAGGGAAGCATTGCTATAGCCAAGGCCACCAATCTTGGAGTCAAACCTACTGCCACCCTCTGCACAATAGGGAGAGCACCATGAGCAGCAGTGGTGAGTGGCTTGCTGATGCCTGGGAGAACCTGAGACACTTCCAGGGGGTCAGTGAGGCCACCATTAGTCTGTAACAGTGACAAAATGTTGTTTGCTCTTTCCTTGTTTGGATAGGTATGCTTTATGTTAAAGATTTTAAGATGGAAGCAGGCTGGCTCATCACATGCCTATCTGAATGAAACCTCCTTGTCATTTACATTGCCAGTAGAGTTCCCTAATTTTAAGAAGATACAAAGTCGTCCTTCCTAAGACAAAGGATCTCAGAGGTAGCTGTTTCAATATGCTAATACTGAATATATCAAAATCCATAGCTAGTTGTTTATTACAAATTCATCAGAGTATCTTAAATAACATACCTCATAGATGGATGAGTGTTTCTATCTCTTCACTTGTTAGCTGAGATATATTTCCTTATCTACCCCTTTCTATTTCTAGTCTGTTCTTCTCTCTCTTTTTG